CGACCTGACGGACACACGGTCGACCTGACGGACAGACGGTCGACCTGACGGACAGACGGTCAACCTGACGGACAGACGGTCGACCTGACGGACGGACGGTTGGCCTGTCGGACGAACGAAATGATGGACTGCCTGACGGACGAACGGTTTAACGGACGGAGAGACTGACGGTCGTACAGCTGGAAGGACTGACGGAAAGAATGACTGACAAAATTGTGAAAATAATGTAGTCAAAATAATTAACACAGACAAAAGAGTCAAAACTGTCAAAATAGTCAAATTAGTCTAAATAGTTATAATACTCAGGACAGTCAGATCGACTTGATGGACGGATCCGTCAGTTGATCGACTTGCTGGGTCGATCCCCAACTATATCGACTAGCTGGGTCGTACCCTTACTTGATCGACTTACTGGGTCGATCCTCTATTTGATCGACCTGCTACGTCGATCAAGTGAGGTATCGAGCCAGCAAGTCGATCAAGTACGAGATGAACCCAGCAAGTCGATTAAATGAGGGATCGACCATGCAAGTCGATAAGGAGGGGTATCGACCCAGCAAGTCGTGCAAGTAGGTGATCGACCCAGCAAGTCGATCAAGTGGAGGATCGACCCAGCAAGTCGACCAAGTGCATTGATCGACTCAGGAAGTCGAGAAAGTGGGTGATCAACCCAGCAAGTCGATCAAGTGGGTGATCGACCCAGCATGTCGATGAAGTAATTGATCGACCAAGCATGTCGATCAAGAGGGTGATCGACCTAACATGTCAATCAAGTCGGTGATCGACCCAGCAAGTCCATCTAAAGGGTATTCGACGCAGCAAGTCGATCAAGAGGGAATCGACCCTGCAAGTCGATCAAGTTGGTGATCGACCCAGCAAGTCGATGAAGTAATTGATCGACCCAGCAAGTCGATCAAGTGGGGATCGATCCAGCAAGTCGGTCATGTGGGGGATGGACCAAGCAAGTCAATCATGTAATGGATCCATCCAGCAAACCGATCAAGTGGGGCATGGGCCCAGCAAGCCTATCAAGTGTAAGATCGACCCAGCAAGTCGATCAAGTGGGGGATCGGCCCAGCAAGTCGATCAAGTGGGGATCGACCAAGCAAGTCGATCAAGTTGGTGATCGACCTAGCAAGTCGATGAAGTAATTGATCGACTTAGCAAGTCGATGAAGTGGGTGATCCACCCAGCAAGTCGGGGATCGTTCCAGCAAATCGATCAGGTGGAAGACAGACCCAGCAGGTCGATCAAGTGGGGGATCGACCCAGCAAGTCAATCATGTGGGGGATGGCCCCAGCATTCGATCATGTAAGGAATCGACCCAGCAAGTCGATCAAGAGAGGGGTTTAATCCAGCAAGTCGAATAAGTGGAGGATCGACCCAGCAAGTCAAACAAGTGAGGGATCGACCCAGCATGTCGATCAAGTGGGTATCTACCAAGCAAGTCGACCATGTGTGAGATCGGCCTAGGAAAACGATCATGTGGGGGATCGACTCAGCAAGTCAATCAAGTGGGTGATCGACTCAGCAAGTCGATCAAGTATGTGATCGACCCAGCAAGTCGATCAAGTTAGTGATCGACCTAGCAAGTCGATGAAGTAATTGATCGACCCAGCAAGTCGATCAAGTGGGGATCGACCCAGCAAGTCGGTCATGTGGGGGATGGGCCCAGCAAGTCGATCAAGTGGGGGATGGACCCAGCAAGTCGATCAAGTAGGGTATCGACCCAGCAAGTCTATCAGGTGAGGGATGGGCCCAGCAAGTCGATCAAGTGGGGGATGGACCCAGCAAGTCGATCAAGTTGGTGATCGACCTAGCAAGTCGATAAAGTAATTGATCGCCCAGCAGGTCCATGAAGTGAGTGATCGACCCAGCAAGTCGATCAAGTTGGTGATCGACCTAGCAAGTCGATCAAGTGGGGGATCGACCCAGGAAGTCGATCAAATGGGGGATCGACCCAGCAAGTCGATCAAGTGGGGGATCGACCCAGTAAGTCGATCAAGTGGGGAATCGACCCAGCAAGTCAATCAAGAGAGGGATCGACCCAACAAATCGATCAAGAGGGGGATTGACCCAGCAAGTCGATCAAGTGAGGGATCGACCCAACACGTCGATGAAGTGAGGGATTGACCTAGCAAGTCGATGAAGTAGGGGATCGATCCAGCAAGTCCATCAAGTGGGAAATTGACCCAACAAGTCGATTAAATGAGGAATCGACCCAGCAAGTCGATCAATTGACGGATCCGTCCAACACGTCGATCGGACTATCCTTCGTATTATAACTATTTTGACTATTTTGTCAGTCAGTCCTTCCGTCAGTCCGTCCGTTAAGCCGTTCGTCCGTTAGGTCGACCGTCCCTCCGTCAGGCCGACTGTCCGTCCGTCAGGCCGACTGTCTGTCTGACAGGCCGACTGCTTTTCTGTCAAGCCGACAGTCCGTCCGTCCATCAGTGAGTCCGTCCGTCAGTCACTCCCTGTGTGTGTGCACGAATTCTTTTTCGTCTTTAGATAGAATTATAAACTTTCTTTTATTTCGTTTCTCATTCACTCTACCCTATGGTAACTGTCATGTTGTCACTGTAGTCACATTTATAGCTACCCAACAGTTCCCACTGTTCGTCTTTTTGCATCTGAATATAACATGCTGGAAAAATGTGCGTCACATTCCTTCACGACCGAAACGTGATTGCGTGAAATTTATGAACTTTCATACAAAAATAATTTTGATCCCTAAAAGATAAGATAATTTACAAAGTCTGTTTATTAATTTCATCAAAATCACAAAGGATATCATTTAAACATTTCAAATACAAAGACCGAAGTGATGGCATTTACAAAAAAACATTATACGCACTTCTTGAAAAGTATGATATGTGGCCAGTTGCTCATTTTAAATATTTTTAAAATAATAAAACCTGTTTAACGGAGGTAGATCTAGATGAAAAGATCCAAAAGTTCCAGAAAATATACTGCTTGCTCGACCGCAAGGGAGAAGGAATAAGCACGCTGGCACCAGGAATACAGCGTCATCGGTATATTGTAGAGTTCCATGGTTTATCTTCCTACAATCTTGATATTTCTCTTTGTACGATTTGATCTCGTAAAGTAATGGATGAAATTACGTTACATATTTCGTAAATAATTATTACAGTTTTCATTTTCTATTACAGGAAAAATAACACACACACACTCTCTCTCACACGACACATTGAGATTTTCGTAGAGAAACAAAATATTCCTATATTTTTAGTTCAGTTATAATTGAATAGTTATATAATGACACAGTCTGTACACAGGACAAACGTTTGGGAAGTTCGGGCCAACTGCAGGTGTTGCGGTTCCAGTGCCCGAGAGCGGGCGTTAGTCTGGGCGCAGCACTCGGAATGCACCTAGCCAGCGGAATTCGTTGTACAAGGCCAAACAAATTAACGAATGTGTTTGCCGACCGGCCATTCTCCAGCGCGGGAGGCACTGTCACGTGAACTAGCGGTATATAAGTTAGCGGCGAAAATTGCTTGGTAGGATTCTATAACGAATGAAATCTTCGTGCTGATGCTCATTTGTCCACCAATGCGGTTGTGCTCGCAAGCCTCGACTATGCGAGTTCTCTCTTGCCATAGGACTACAGGCCAGAAGCGCGACGCGAAATAAGATTAAAATTAAATGTTCAAGCAATCAATGGCAAAATACGATCTTTCTTCAGGGAGTGAAGGGAGGAATGACTTCGATACATGGGACAGACATGCATTCTAAAGCAAGCATTTATGTGTAGAACGTGAGGTAGAAGACACAGAGGCAGATCGTTATAGAAATGAAATTGGTAAAGCCAGAACAGGTCATGAACGCATCCTTGGAGTAGTGAAGAAGATGATCATAAGGGTGTCAATTCAGTTAGTTGTTAATACGAGCATAACTGCGACATCGCAGGCCAGTACCCATAAAGCTGAAAAAGGAGACTTGTTTTTTAATTGCTGAATAATTTGCAGAGCTAAAAATTAATCTTAGGCGTAGCACCGCTTTAATCGCCGGGCCTGGCCGAGCTGCCGCGCTGACAGAGGGCCCTCAACGGGTGGGTGGGTGACGCAACGATGAAGGGGGGGGCGAGGTAAATTCGTAAATTTCACTTTACGACGCTCCTATTCGTCCGATTTGCATGATTATCATGGCGTTGGATTCAAGAAGCATGTCGCCATCGCGCTGTATGTCCACATTTTTAAATTTGTTTTCGGAAGTTTGAGAACTAATTTCAAATTCGCGTTTTTGTTAGATTTTTGGAAAAAGGTGATCGTATCGTAAATTCTATTTTAAAAAGGCGTCAAATGCCGTTTACAGATCGAAAATCTAACCATTGGTTCAGACGTTATCAGTAAAGTAAATTTTACTTATTTTGGTGCTCCCACGTGGTGGCTACAAATTGTACTAGTGTCGGAATATTTAGCCTTCAGACGAAATTTACATCGAGTAAATTATTCCCTTAAATTTATGGAGGAGCCGGGAGGGAGGGTTCAAAACCTCATTGGTTGTCTTCTGAAATTCTTTCAGATTCACCCGTTTTAGATAATAATTTTATTCCTTTTTCTCACTTCCTTGATGTACAAGCATACACAACATTGCAGCAGGTTGACAACTGTCCTAAATTTGTTATCTTCTTCGTGAAATTGACAAAACTTTAACACTAGCTCATTGATTGCATCAGTCATAATACTGATGTAAAATTATATATAAATTAAAAATAAAATAAATTTATAAATAATAATTACTTTTACCATTTATTATTTCACCAAGAAACTCCTGCACTATGCTGCCAAAGTGTCTGGATATCCTAGATTTCTGTGCAGGAAGGTAGTATCATAATTTGCCTGCCCCAGCAGAAGGCACAAGTGTTGATTAGTCTGCTATTACTCTAAGCTCATTATGCATTTTTTCTCAGATTAGTGTGAAGCAAGACCAAGGAAGGAGAGAAAAAAACAATCATAAAAAAATGTTAGAAACATTTTAACAATATAATGGAGGCTAATTGATCAATTTACAAAAATAAAGCAGCTGAATTTCAGAAACACATTTTATTTCAGTAACATATACAGAAAATAAAAGTGGACACAGTTCTGTATGGAACAACTTATAATACAGTAAAGACCCACTTTAGTACCATTTTACTTCATTGATGATCTAAAGAGGAGTATATGTACACACTTACTCCCAGAGAAGTGAGATTTGGTATAAAATATTACTTCTATTATTTTCAAAATAACAAAAAAATTCTTGATTGCATTTTGACAAATCCTAAGATTACTGGTAATGTAATTATCTACACATCCTTTGCTACCCAAATGATTTGGATTCTGTACATTTTTTGAAGAAATGATTTTAATAATATTCCCTTTATGAAACTTAAGTGCAGGATGAAAAATTAACAAAAGTGAATGATTATTTCTACATCTCAATAAGGCAAATGTTAATGGAAGTTACTGGCATCCATATTCAACTTAACAAGCTGATCACAAGCCCAGCAAATAGGCAGAATCATACTTTACAATCACATTTTCATTTCAAAATGTAGCCTTTGGTCCATTTCCTAACAAACAATGAAGTTTATGTAACTTATGCTGTGCAAATGTATAACCATATAAGATTTAAATAAAGATTTAGGTGTCAAATTTGCACACACATTTCACCATGGTCAAATATATCAATACACTTTTTACCACTGGAGAAAGATCGAGATATGTTTTAAAAATCATTCTGAAAATATTGGAATGACGACGTTTCCCAATTATAAATAAATACTTTGCAACTAACTATCCAGTTTATCCAGCTTTCTACACATTAAAAATATATTATTTGTTCTCCATTTGTACGTACAGCACTACAAAGCCAATTAAATACTCCATTATTTTATCAAAAGTAATGTAATATCGACTACAGCACTGAATAACACCAAGATTTGCGACAATTTAGTACAATGTATAAATTACTTTGCTCACAGGAGACATAAAAATAAAAAATTTAATCAATATTTTATAGGTAGTCCCTAACAGCATCCACAAAAAATTAAATATGAGATTTAAGTGATGTAATGATTGATAACTAGAAGCAATATATCACAAAGCTGGAGAATCTCTCTGATAATGATTTTATTTTCTTTTGCACAGAACCAACACTTGTGACTCTTCAGATTCTTTTCTCAAGGAAGTGCTTCATGTTGCATTACGTACTCGTCAGAAGCAGAGTATAATACAAAAGACTGGAGTCCTCTAATATCCACAAAAGACAATTGCTGGAAATATGAAGTGATTGTCAAAACATTGTTTAAAAAAAATAATTAAAAAATACACTTAACAAATAAAAACTAGTTCAAAGTTCAGTTTTATTGTCTCAGAATATTTATTTATTCATCACCCAAGAAACAATAAAACAATGTAACTTACAAGCATGAACTAAAATTAAAGAAACCAGTAGGCATCTTAAAAAAACTGTACACTAGCACTCAGTTATTTCCAAATATATTTCCATTACTAAATATATTGGCAAAAAGTTATAATTTCAACCAGAGAACTCATTAAACATGAAAGATTTGCCCAATGTTATTACACCAGGCCTGTGCAACAAGTCAAACGTTATCGACAAGTCAATCACAGCAAATTTTTGTGTCTACCTCTTCTATTTTGTACCTCTCTTACTAATGGTACACCTGAATATCAGATTTTAGTGCATGACACACAGACATTACAGTAATTAGAAAATTCAAGGATTCATAGTGTTGTATTGCTTATGCTTATTAGGGTAAATAAATAAAATTTGTGTTTTAACAAGATTGATTTCAAAAACAAAGACCCTCCTTCCTAATAACATTCAAATGGGTAGTGGTAGATAATCGTGACTTTTATTTATAAAAGTAGATATTCGACGGAAAGTTGCCTAATCCTGTTAAATTCAAAACAGAAACTTTACCTACAAAAAAAATCCTGTTGATTCAGAAAAAACTGTGTGCAAGAAAACTTGAATAGTTAATATGTTGAGAGGCCTCTCATTCAGAATCCAGTGAAATGCATCATTAAGTTCATTGACGTTTACATGTAATCTAACCTGCAGTGTGAACTATTCTTCAGAGCAAGAAACAATTAAAGTGGCAGAAAGACACAGTAACAATTAGAATCAGGGTAAAGTTAAAAAGAAATGGATATAAAAGATTGCATTTCAAATCAGAGCATCTGACAAGCATAGGTTCCAAGAAAATCAATTAATAGAATTTTCAACGCCAAACAAATACTTTCCAAATATTTACTCACCATTACTCATTCCATGGCAATACTTCGTAAAACATATTTGACAGTATATGCAAAAGCAGCAAAGCCAATTATAACACATATGTTGGTGAGTGCACTGTGCAAAGGGCTCTGATCATTATTCGCTAATTCATTCTGTATCCCTCCATGAGCATCAGCCACTACTGCAGATTGAGGATTATTCCTTGCTGCCAATTCAGCTTCTGCCCTTCTTTCCAATTCAGTCTTAATGCTCTGCAAAGGGACAGTCATTAAAACAAATCAAGATACAATGTGACAGACCGGTCATTCGTGAGGTTCATAACTACAAAATTATTCACATCTATTTTTCAAAGGAAACTATTGCATCAGAGGAAAATTTGGGAGGCCATTATCAACAAAGAGCCCAAATCTATGAGAAGGAGCACATGTTCATTAAGAGTTCTTAAATTAAGACAACATAAATAATAGGTTTACATTTTGAAATGAGAGTTACAAAATGCGTCCTCACGGGTACATTTTAATTAAAACATTTTAACACCAACAACACATCAAATAAGGGACAATGCCCACTTTTATATAAAAATTCGATTGGACACAAGAGAGCAAAGAATTTTAAAGCCAAAATAGTTTTTTAATACATATTTTGAAGCCTTAAGATTTTTTAATAAAAAAATAATTGAGAACAGTCTTGTATTTTTGTACTTCTTAGAAATAAACACCTCAGTTTTTCAGAAATTACTTAAAGCATATCATTTCAATTTTTCATGTAACTGCCCCAGTAATAAAGTCAATTTGCAGATGGGAAGCCTCTATGACAGTGTCTACTATCAAATTCATTTATATACACAATTTTATTGTAGAGCTGCTAATGACAAGTCAAAAAAGATGCCAAATACGACCAACTAACAAGTTGGATTATTTGTATTCGCAGATGTGTCTTACGAGCATATGTAGTGTCATCTGTCTAATCTGTCAGAGAGTGCTGATTCAAAGCTACAAAATGGAGAAAAATCTCTGATAAAAATATTGCAAAGATGACATGAGGAACCCCCAATACTGAAAAGCTTGAAAGGTCAGTCAGAATTTATTTTTACTTGAATACTCCTATTTGAGAGAATATTTTGAATAATGCTTTTAATATATTGAGGGAAAACCAATTTATCATTTTATATACTGAGACCACATGTCAAACATTTCGACACAAAATTATGAATATTTTCAAAACTTCAAATCATAAAATTATTTTTCAATCAGTCAAGCTGTTATTGCAGCCTCCAAAGAAATCTCCAACTTCAGAAGTGAAGGTGTAATGCATATTTAAAACAAAATTAACAAAGGCAATTCTCAAAAATTCAAAAGATTTTATAGAAAATAGGACATGTGTCATATACTTTGGCAATCTTCACTGAGCAAAACATTCATATAAAAAAAGTTTGAGTAGTTTTTGGAGTAGTGGAGACATTTTTTTTTAATTACCCCTATTTCACCAAAAATTACACAAAACGTTCTCACATTTTCAAAACAATTGTTCATGACATTTGAAGGTCGTATTTTGAAGAACAGATTTCTTAAGAAACAAATAACTATCTCCAATAATGTGTTTGGTGGATGGTGGTAAAATAAATTTTAATTTTTTTGAATTTTTAGGAATTCTGAGGTATTAATGAAAACTGGACCTATCCCTTTGTTATAAGCCAACTTTGATTTACTGAAGCAAATCTTTAAAGAAAAAAATTGCAGCCATTTTTTAAGGAATCTTTTAAATATTTTAAAAGGCTGTGTGATCAGCCACCCAGATCATTTGGGATGTTCGTGAAAATCCTAAGTACAACCATTTGGCATGTTCATGAAAATCCCAAGTACAATGCTAGTGCTTATCCTATCCTTAGCTGAATTCAAAGTACATAAAACCAAATGAAGCGATATATTTGTTACGCTATGTTTAACAAACTATATCCCAGCAGGCAGCCAAGGCATGGCAGAAATTAACAAAATGTTCCTCCTTCAGGGTGTCAAAAATCGACCCCGTTAGTTATATACTGTTTTAAAGCTCTAGATAAAAAAGGGCATGGAATATTAAAGTGGCCAAACGAAAATGAAAATGGTTCAGCCTCAACGACGACAAAAGCAAATGGGAAAGTAAAAACGATCAACTGTCAAGACAAGTTGACGGTGCCCGAGCTGCGCACACACTTGGTGTCGGCTAGCAAGATAACGGCCAAGGGAACAGTGTCCTCTTCCAGAATACGGAAGCCGAAGCCCCAGACGCGGGGACGGCCTTCATCTCTTCCGCGCGCAAGAGGACGGTGGGCGCCGGGGGGTGCCGAGGGCATGACTGGCAGAAAGGACCGGAGAACGGGTCCCTTCAAGGTAACTGACCCGTCTCACACATTTGAATTTTCTGGCACTACGCGACGCGTGGTCCCCTGTCAGGAATCGCGGTCAACAACATCGACGAAGACCTCGAATGCCGTCTGTCTGCAGGGGAAGATACGCCGCGCGGCATTTGATTCTTTCCGACACACGTGCACCGATGCGCGAGACGTTGCGCGGGAAGAATAAGTACTGCTACATGCACATCGACGACCATTCACGCTGGTGGAAGGTAAGGTTCCTGAAGAACAAAAGACACGCCATCAAAGGACTTGACATCTTTAGATAAAATACCTCCAGGCGGATAATGGGATGGAGTTCAAGAGCCAAGAGTTCCATGAACTACCGTACAATCCGGAACAAAATGGCGGAGCCCAAAGGAAGAACAGGACGTTGACGGACACGGCAAGACGTTTGTTAACCCAGTCAGGACTGCCTTCGTCCCTTTGAGCTAAGACAGTGACTACTGTTAACTTCATCCGCAACCGACGCCCTTCAAGTAAGCTGAATGGGAAATCGCCCCACGAACTCGAGTTTGTCAGGGCACCGGACGTATCTGACTAAGCGCTTTGTCAGTAAACTGTTCGTCATATGCAGGGGACCCAGAGGAGGAAGGGCTTCAGAATCTGGATACCGAGTGAGGGGCAGGTCGAAACATCAAGAGCCGTTAAGTTCCTGGTAGAGTCGCCGATGGAATCCAACACGAAGACTTCCCACCGGAAGAACATCGTGGTCACAAGCTCCCAGAGCAGCTGCAAATCTCTTAATTGAAGTCGGAACTGTAGAGATAACGAAGTAACGGAGGAAGACTGACGACGAGGACTTTCGTGAGTTCTCACAAGACTGCAAGAGAGTCTGCGAGTATCGGCATCAGTGGACATATTCACCAACGCTTTGATCAAATTGGAAGCACAAGAGGTGCCTGGACCTGTAGAATTAATGAATTTGGACAGACAGACGGACGGACGGACCGATGCAGAGACGGGCGGGCAACTTCTTTAGTTTAGGGTCCAGATAAGTCAGAGACTTTTCATTGGTTCCCGTACATTCATATAAATCCAAACAGTTTTGTCATATAAAACATGTTTAACAATAAATTATAAGATTATTACATTATGCTGAATTAATAATATTTTAGCGTTTTATATTTGAATGTCTTATATTGAACTTAACATAGTTATTTGTATAATGCAATTAATACATAGTCTCATCACATTTTCGGCAATAACATATATTAATTAGCTTGGTACATCACTTATAAACTTCTTATTCACAGAAAATATTCTATTGTTACTCAATTTGTCTATTTAATTTGCAATCTAGGTTCTTCCCTTTATTGCAAAAGTGTCCTATACACTGTTGTTGTTGTCACACCGCAAGGTTTGTTTATTGGCAGCCATATTTAATTTTGTTGTTAAAGTTTTGACAAGGATAAATAAAAAGCCTGCAATCAGTTGTTTGTCATGGTATCATTACTTTGGTTATTGTTGCTAGAGTTGACCGTTGCATGCTTTCAGTTATGTTTTCTACTTGTTGAATGAAATGTCAGAAACTTATTTACAAGTTATATAGTTTTGAAGCGGCTCCCAAATGCCATCAGCAATTGGTCATCATTATTTTTATTCTGCCTCCTATTTTGCATTTGTTCACCTCTCCATATTCCTTGCAATCAATTTCTTTTTTTAAAGTATTCATCATATATTCATTTCTTAGGATTTCTGATTTCATTGTTAACTTTGTTTCCTGTATTGTTTTATAAGCTCTTTTATACATTTCTGTGTTGGGTTAGACTTCATTTCTTGAATAACTCTATCTCTTTCTTTTACGAATATTATTGTTTCATCTGTCACCATTTTTTATGATGTCCTATTGCGAGAAGTTATATGAAGCCTTTTATTATTGTTTTGTATAATCTATATGGTTGTTTAAAAGAATGTTCACAATATTCTCTAGGAACCTATCTACATTTGCATCTTCACATCATTCCAATTATGGTTCCTGATAGATGTAATTGATTGATTTGTATCATATATTTTAAATTGTAATCTTGATGACATCTACTCATTTTAAGATGTTATTGCGTGTGGTTGTATTGAATGACTATTGCCTATATATAATAAATTATTATTATAATAATAATAATAATAATTATATTATTATATAATTATAATAATAATTATTCAAGGCTTGCTTTTTAATATAAGTGGAAAGTTGCATGTACCTGGCATTCAATAACTTTATAAAGCTTTTAAATCAGGGCACTATTTCTTATAATTATGTGAGAAAGCAAGTTTTAGAAATGTATGAATTTGGAGTAAACTATATCCTTATGTTATATATGTGGAAATAAGC